AGGGCCCAGACTGTTGCCCCCACTCCCCTCTCCCTGAATGGGGCAGTAGGAATAATCCCAAGCCTCGGGGGTGGATGGGGGCACTGGTCCCTACTCCCGAGACCAGCTTCACAATCCAGGCCCCCACGGTCCTGATGGTCATATATGGGCTGAGAAGATACCAGGTGCCCCTTCTCAGAGCTGGCCCCCGGCCCCACTGGCCATACATGGGCAAGAGAAACACTGGGGATCCCCCACGTCAAGCCTGGCACCCTGTTAAAGGTGCCAGCCCAACAGCTGCTCTGTCCAAATATGGAGCTTGTGAGGCCTGGGGAGGAGGCTGCACCCTAGGCTGTGGTGCCATACGGTGTAACTCCCTCAGATCCCCCCTCCCCCAACACACACACCGTCTGGAGTTCACCACCTCCCTGAGCACCTAACCCTATCTCGGAGCTGATAAGAACCTGGCCTAGACTCTCCTCCTGGCATGTGGAGTGGGTGTTGCGCACTGAACCCAGAGGCTGGCAGAGGCGAGGGCTACGGTGAAGGAGCCCACCCCAGGGTTCTCACTGAGGGCAGCTGTGGCCTCTCCAGAGGCCTGGACGTACTGTCTCCCTGGGGCAGGGGTGGCAGCCCAGGCCCTAGTAGAGTCTTAGGAAGGGTCCAACCTCCAAAGCAGGAGGGTTCAAGAAGGGGGTGTAGATCCGAAACTAATTTGCTGGGTTACCTAGAGAAAGGCTCTTTCCCTCCCTGGGCCTTAGGGGCTCCCCCTCTGCAAAATGGGGACTTTCCTGCAAAGTCCAGCAGGAGAAAGAGGCAGGAGGGGCTAGCCTCACCGGAAGGCAAAGGCTGCCTTGGGAAACCTAAGCTGGCACTGGTCCAGGCAGAGCGGGGAGTCCCTGGGGCAGGTGTAGGCAGAGTCCCAGGCGGGCATCTGGCTCTTCCTGGGACACAGCTGTCAGCAGGCGCCAGACGCTGGCGGGGGAGGGGGGGCAGACACAGCTTGGGGGGGGGGAGGGAGGTGTAGAGCAACAAGGGGGTGCGGAGGCAGGGGTGCTGCTCTCCCCAGTGGAATGCAGCTGTCCAGCCCCGCACCCCCAGGGGGTGGCAGCTGGTTGCAAGGTTTCAGCCGCCACCACCCCTCCCCCGCTCCAGGAGCCAAGCGGCGGTTAACCCCTTCCGGCCCGCAGCCCGCAGCCCGCAGCCATGTGTGACAAGGATAATATCGCGGCGCTCGTATGCTGTGTGCTACAGCCGCTCAGGCTTGGTGAAGCCCAGCGGGCGCTGGCGTGGCGGGGGCTGCCTGCACCCCACAGCCGACAGCCCACAAGACTCTCCGCAGGGCCAGGCCATCAGGTCCGCAAGCCTGCCCCCCCGCTCCACGATACAGAGGGGTACGCTGAGACCACAGGAGGGGTGGAGCTGCTAGGCTGGACCACCCCCAAAGCACACCCAAGGCCTCCCCGCCCCATCTCCCCAGGGTGTGCTGGTGGGCCTGGGCCAAAAGGAGCATCCCGTGCTGCTCGTGGAGGCCCCAGTCAACCCCAAGGCCAAGAGGGAAAAGATGACCCAGGTCTTGGCAGAGACCTTGAACGTTCCTGCCAGGTACGTGACCACCCAAGCCAGTGTGCAGCTGCCATCTGCCTCTGGTTGTACCAGTGAGGACCAGCGTACCAGAGCCCCCAGCCTCACCCCTACCCTGCTGAGACCCCCAGCCTGGACCCCCAACTCCCAACCTGAGTTCCTCTCTCAGCCACGAGATCCCTGACCTCTTCTGCATCCTGTGGCCCAGGGCGAGTCCCCCATTCTTGTTCATTGTTCTCAACACCCCATCTCTCAGCCAGGCCCCCAGAGGGCCCTAAGGCCATGCACCTGACAGCCCCATCCCTGGACCCCCACACCCCTCCAGCCACTTTCCCTGTCCCTTCCCACTCCCTGGACCCACCATTCAGACACAGGCTGCCCCAGGCGTGCGGGCCACCTCTTTCGTCCCCCTCTCAATCCATTCCCCGGGCATCAGACTGGACTCCAGGGACGGCGGCACTCACTATGAGCCCCTCTGTGGGGGCTATACTCTGCCCCTCACCATCCAGCGCCCACACCTGGCTGGCCACTGCCCCACCAGCTCATGAGGATCCTGCTGAAGAAGTAGCATGGCTACTTGTCACAACTGGTGGAAGGGGAGGGGTGGATGAGGCCAGCCCCCAGGCCTACTCTGAGCAACTCTCTACTCCTGTACCTACCGGGGCAAGACCACACAGCGACGCGGGGCCTCCTTCCATTGTTCCAGGGCCCTGGAGCGAACAGGCCATTGTGGAGGACGGCTGGTCCCAATCCCCCAGGACAGCCGCCACCAGCTCAGGCTTTGCTACCTCTCCTTGGCTCCTGGCTATGGCGCCCCAGCCCTTCGGAGGCTCCAGGCCCTTCTCAGCCTGGCTGCTTTGCTTCAGGGCCCCAACCCTCTCACCTTGGGTTGCTCTACACTGAGCACAGGGCAGTGTGGTCTGACCTCAGCGCCAGCATGGGCAGCCCTCCCGCTGCCGGCCCATAGCAAATGTTCACCTTCCTACAGTGAAGATCTCACAGCAGGGGCTCCCAGTGCCACAGTGTGGGTTTACAGGCTCCCCTCGTCCACTTCCACACGCGCCCCTCCAGGAAACGCAAAGCCAGGAGCGCGCATGCGCAGCGGGGCGGCTCGCTCAGGAGCTGCTCTCCGCCCTGGCCCGGCGGTCGGGATGCGCAGGGCCGCAGTGCGAGGGGACGAAGCGGGCTGCGGGCTCTGAAGCCAGGGCATCCGGCCGAGCTCTGGCACAAACCTGCCTCTCCCTGAACCCATCACCCCTTCTTCCCTGTCCAGTGACGGGGAGACCGCACGGGACATCCAGGAAAAGCCGAGGTAGGGAGCCCTACTGTGAGGACCAGTCCTCCTCTCTGGAGAAGAGCGATGAAGCTGCCTGATGGACAAGTCATCCCTACAGGCCACAGGCACTGCTGCCCTCCCAACGCCCTCCTCCAGGCCTCCTTTGTGGGCAAGTCTGTGTCCCCGCAGGACGGCCACGCCTCCATCTTGGCCTTCTCAACTCCAGTCCCCATTTCTCTCAACAGCCCCCTGCATGGGACAGAAGGAGCCCCTCAGGTTGGCGAGAGGACCGGCCAGCTTTGTTTCTCTCGGCCAAGCCCTGAGAGGGAAGACGGGGCCTTGAGACCGACAGGTGCCTGGATCCACGAGGTGACCTAGAACTCCATCACCAAGTGTGACGCTGACATCCACAGAGCCCCGTGTGCCGACAACATCCTGCCCGGGTGCCACCATGTACCTGGGCATTGCAGGTTGGATGCGGAAAATCACAGTCCTGGGCACCATGGAGATCAAGGTTGTTGAACCCACCACCTGACCACCTTCAAAACCTGGTAGCGGAAATCGCGGGGCGACCTGCTTGCTTCCACTGGCAAAACACAGTCCCTTTCAAACCAGCTCACGCTCTGACTGAAACGGAAGGCTTGTCATGCGGGAATGGTGCCTATTGCTCCTTCTGCTCACGGAGGCATGTCAGCAAGCGCCACTTGAGTGAAGAAGCTTCCGTTACAGCTGCAGGGAGGGCTGGAGGCAGCCACTGGAGGACCAAAGAGGGGTCCGGGCCCCTCAAGAAGGTGGGCCCAGACCCCAGGCAGCAGGGACCAAGGAAGGGCCCCATACCCTTCCAACTCGCCATTTGCCCTGGGACAAGGGGATGGTCATTCCTTTTTTTTTTTTAAGATATTTATTTATTTATTTGAGAGAGAGACAGAGCACAAGCAGGGAGAGCAGCAGGCAGAGGGAGAGGGAGAAGCGGGCTCCCTGCGCAGGGAGATGTGGGGGCTCCATCTCAGGACCCCGGGACCATGACCCGAGCAAAAGGCAGATGCCCAACTGACTGCGCCACCCAGGCGTCCCAAGGGGACGGTCATTCCAAGGAATTCCTGCCTGGGATTAAAACAGCCTGCAAGGAACAAAGAACTTGGGGGGTGGGGCAGAATTTTGTCACATGGGAAATCTGTTGTATGATTAGCCCAGGGAAATGCTCTCTCCCTTCGCAAGGATTGTGATGCCTTTATTCGTGCCCCCAAGATAAGGCAACAGCACAAACCATCCCCAGGTGTCATCCCATCACCTGGGGATTCTTTGTCTCATGCATCCTGACACCCACTGGACAGCTATTAACCCTGCTCCCCCTTCCCCAGATCATTGCCCTGCCGGAGCACAAATACTCCCTGTGGCTTGGGGCTCCTCCTAGCCTCCTCCCTCTCCACCTCCCAGCAGATAGGATCACCAAGCAGAAGCACAGCGAGGCTGCCCCCTCCAGTGTCCACAGGAAGTGCTTCTGAACCCCAGCTCCTAGCCTATTCCTGCCTCTCCTCCCAGCTCACCCTGGGCCAGGGACTGGCAGGAGTCGTGCCTGGGAGAAGCTGCATAGCTCCATCTGTCACATGCCAGGGGCCGAGCCTCTCCCAGCCCGTAACTTTCCTGTCCTGTCAGGCCTGACATGAGTTACCCTTCCTTTGAGCCTTTGTCTTTTATGAGTGGATGGAAGAGGGCTTTGGAATCTTTTTAAGACAAAGAATATTCTGAGTAACCCGATAAAGTAAAAGAGGGGAAAGAAACACCGACACTCTCAATCTATTCAACGCCCACACAAGTGCACTGGAATTTACGTTTAGCCAACGATGTCAAATGTCACAATGCCTGGCTTGGGACTGTCTAAGATGCAAAGCAGGCATCCCTTGCAAGACCTTTTACCTCTACCCAGGGCCAGTGGCAAGTGGCACAAACACACGCACTCTGTCTCAGGTCTCCCCCCTCTGGCTGTTCGCCCTAGACACCCTGAAGTTTCCTCAGGCCAAGGCTTCTTTCACAGCAAGGGGGGTGGGGCCTCACAGCTTCCTGCCTCCCAGGGTTTCAGCCCAGGCCCAACGCTAGGAGAGTGTGAAGGTGTCCCGAGACCACACTGCCCATGGCACCCCAGCATTAGGACACGATCCCAGCAGCTGAACAAAGTGTCTTTTATTTGTGACATACAAATACAACCAATGCAAAAAGAGATCACTTTTCCCTTTGATTCCAGTGATAACAAGTTGCTAAAGAAAAAAAAAATATCAAGAAGTTTATCTTCAGTTTCCTCTTAAAAAAACCAGAAAGGGTTAAAAAGAACCATACACATGTCATATACACATTTGACATCAACAAAAAATAACCTGAAATAGAGTGGATACAACTTAAAAAAAAAAAAAATCTTAAAAAATATTTTAACATGCCCCAAACAAAACACACAAAAAAGCCGGGGAACAAAAAGCCTGCTCTGTTTCTCAAAACCAAGACCTGGGGAAGTGGAGAAAGACTGATGTTTGAGAAGTGAACGGGCTCAACACCACAGCGGAGGGAGCCGCTGGTCTCCTGCCCCAGCGCTGGCGCCCTGAGCCACCCTGTGGGAAACGGCCAGCAGAGACTGCAGGAGCAGGTACCAAGCACCCCATCTACCAATGGGCTCAGTGGCAGGTGTCCAACGAGTGGAGAGAGACAACATACACTGAACTCACCTTATGAGGAATTTACAGTGGGGTTCCTTTTGATCCCCTTGAGTAGGAGGTATCAGAAATCCATGATCTAAGACAATAAATATCTGTTCTGCATCGACAGACAGGAATCAGAGAAAAGAATTCCTAAACATGCTTCTGTCATTCCATGATTCTCGGAAGGAGCCCGCCAACGCTCTCCTCCCAGCAATTTAAAATTCTCCCCGCCCCTCCCCCCACATAGAATGCCCTGGTAGCCGGAAGGTAGGGACAGAGATGGGCTTATTCCAGTGTAAAGCAGCAAGGCCCTCCCCCAAGGGAGGGCCACATCCGCTGCCTGCGGCGGGGTCAAGAGCAACACAGAGCACTCTGAGGGCGGGGCTGGGTGGAGGAGGCCGTGTGCACAGCTCCCCCCCCCCCCCTTGCAGGAGCAGGAAAGTGGGGAAGCGAGATCAGCTCTGGGGAGACCCGTCAGCACAGACCACCTGAGTCAGGGCAGAGGGTGGGGGCTGAGCGGACTCTGAGTTCAGAACAGACCTCCAAGAGAGCAACTCCGCAAAGGCTAGAACCTCTACGACACTCCCTAAAGCAGAGCTCACGGATGTCCAAGGGGAGGCGGCAGGTGCTTTTTCCTGGATAAGGATTTGGTCATTTTCTTCCCTGGAAGGGGTGCAAGCCCAGAGATCAGGGCAAGTGTAAGCTCTGACCTACAGCCTCTCTACCCTGTGAGAGAAGAGGAAGGCCGCCGGCCCTGCTCCAGTCCGCTGCCACAGGGTGACGCTGGAGAGAGAGAGAAGAGCAGCGGTTCTGGCCACCGAGAGGCATTCCTGCTGCAGCCTGAGCTGCCAACCAGGGCAGTGGCACCAGGCCTCACTGAGGCAGCAAGGGGCAAGGCTGGGGAGTGCAGGCAGTTGGTGCCTGCTGCTGGCTGGGGGCTCTCTGCAAAGGGAGGGCAGCGCCACCTTCAGAGAGCGATCAGCACCAAGATATGAGAGGCAATAGCACTGAAGAGGCCAGGAACGAGGGGTCCTTCTGGGGGAAGATGGGGGGCTCCCTAATGTAATCCTCCCCCCTTGAGAGTAAGAATAGAGGTATCGGGTGAGGTGAGCTGTGAGGTGAGCCGGGGGAGGACAAGTGGTGGGGAGGCGATGGAGAGGAACTGGCAGGACCTCTGGCTTGTTTCTATGAAGGGAGAGCTCGAGTCGCTGCCAGATCAAGAGGTTCATCTAGAATGCAGCAAAGTCCGAAAACCCAGAGAAGCCAACTCTCTTCCTGGGGGATGCCCCCCCGCCCCCATCCACACCTTGTTCCGGGTCCTCTCATCCTCTTATCAACAGCGAGGCAGAGAGGGATGGAGCCTTCCTCCTATCGGGCCGGTCCCCTGGGATGCCTCCACACTAACTGTGGGTCCATAAAAGCACAGCTAGAAAGAGCTCCCTTGCTTCCCAGTGTTGTGGCACAAAGGACCTCCCCACAGTCTCCATCAGAGCATTCAGCTCCAAAACAGGACTCTCTGCGAAGCCTATAGCTACGTTCAGATCTTGCACTCAGTCCGTTCCTCGTTGGGGACCAGCCAGACCCTGACCCAGGGCTCCGGGACTTTTATAAAGGTGGGCATAAAACTCCCCATTTGTCCAAGTGTGTGTGTGTGGCAGGGGGAGGGGGGGCTTGTCAGGAATCCATCTGCAGAGAAGCTGGGGAACCTCATGCTCAAGGGCACAAGGGCCGAGCGAGAAGGCAGCCGCTGTGAGAGGGTCCACGTCATGCCCGGCCTCCGTCAGCTCTTCCCCCAGCACCCTCTCCTTTCTGCTCCTTCAGGGCACTCTGTTCTTCTAGGGGAGCGGAGGACGGGCAGCTCGGACCACTCCACCCCAGGGTTCTGTGCCCTCAGGCTGCAGCCTGGCATGTGCAGGGCTGAGGAGGCCACAGCTCTGAGGGCACTTGGCCAGCAGCATGAGCCCAGGGAGAGGACAGGCCTTGGAGAGAGCATTCTAGCTTGGGAGCTCAGTGGCAGCAGCCGCCACAGTGCCCGCCCGTATGGGAGTGCTGGCTGTCCCCAAACTTGGTCCTCCGGCTCAGGATCTCGTAGGAGCAGTCCTCTCCACAGCAACCAGACATGCTGGGGGAAGAGTCATCGATTTCAAATCTGCAAGGAAAGCAAGAAGAAAGGCTTGGCTGCAGGTAGCTGACTGCCTTCCTTCCTAGCCCGGGAACTTTTCCACCCGCCACACTCATGAGAGCCCTAGGAGTGAGGGCGCAGCCAGAGGGCATGCCCACGCCATCTCACCAATCCCCAGGTTACTCCCACGGACCACCGGACCGGGAGCTCAGCCTTCAGGATGAAGGAGCGCCAGGACCAGGAAAAAGGCCCTGGGGCAGGCACCCCCTACCCCCCAGAGGGCCCCACACCAGGGTCCAGCTCCTTACTGCAGCGCTTCTCTGAAGAACTGGTAGGCGCCATGATTGTGCTTAAATACAGTTAACATAACTTTCTTCATCTGTGTGCTGAAAAGAAAGCAGAGAGAACACCTTCCAGAAAGAGAAACAGACACTAACTCATGCCTCTTCTTTCGTGTCTCTGCCTGCTGTCTCCCATTTGCTCCCGAAAAGTGCTCCTCTGAGCCCCAACTCTAGCCTCCATGCTGGGCACCCACAGCACGCCATGCTTCCGTTACGGGGCTGACCGGACTGCACGGGCATCGGGCCCCCACCCGACTGACCACTTCTCCACCTCCTCTCTGCACCCCACTATTCAGGCACAACAAGGGCTCAGAAGCACTTACTGCATTGAGCCACACGTACAAAATCTGGAGTCACAGCAAGGCGGGGAGTATCTTTACTGAGAGGATTCTAGATGCCTTTTTTTTTTTTTTAAAGATTTTATTTATTTATTTGACAGAGAGAGACACAGCAAGAGCAGGAACACAAGCAGGGGGAGTGGG